CATCCTTCCCTATTCAGCCTTTAAATGTGGTTGTCCCCAAGGCTCAATCTTATGGTCTGGTCTTATTCAAAACTCTTTCCAATGTGATGTCATCTGCGTCTATTACCCTCAGTGACTCTCAATTCATACTACCAACCCAGATCATTCTCTGAGGTCCAAATTTATACATTCAACTGGCCCTATAGCATCTGCATTTAGATATTTCAAAAGCACCCCAAAATCAATTATAAAAACCCAAACTTAAAGTCTTTTCTGTAAAATATCAGTATTTATCTCAGAGAAAGACACCACCAGCTATCTAGCTGGTAAAGCCTGAAACCTTGGAATGGTCTTGAAAACCTCTTTCCGACACCAGTCCAGTGCCAGGTCCTATGAATTCTGCTTTTAAATACCTTGCAAATATATTCACTTCTTAATGTTCTTATTCTATAGACAAATTCCAGCTTTATCATCTGATACCTGGACTTAGCTTCCTGATTGCTTTTCCTTTTCCTCCTTAATCCATTCTCCACAATGCAATTAGAGTGTCCTTTTAAAAATAACTTTCCAGGGGCGCCTGGGTGGCTCAGTCTGTTAAGCATCTGACTTTGGCTCAGGTCATGATCTCACAGTTTGTGGGTTCAAGCCCCGTGCTGGGCTCTGTGCTGACATCTAGCTCAGAGCCTGGAGCCTGCTTCCGATCCTGTGTCCCTCTCTCTCTGACCCTCCCCTGCTCATACTCTCTCTCTCTCTCTCTCTCAGAAATAAATTAAAAAAATTAAAAAAAAAACTTTCTGGAAAAAAATTTTAAAAATTAAAAAAATTAAATAAAAATAACTTTCTGGTCTCCTGCTTAAAACCTTTCCATTGTTTCCACTGCTCTAAAAGCCCAAAATCCTAAAGCTGCCTGAAAGCCTCTACTTGACTGGCCTAACAGCTCAGCCTAGTCTGACACCATCTTATCTCTTATTCACTGTTCCAGCCACTCAGCTTTCTTTCCATTACTCTAATGTGCCATGCTTCTTCCTACTCCTGAGTCTTTACATGTGTTCTTCCCTCAGGTCTGGAAGATCTCTTACAACCCACTCCCCTCAGTTGGTTAACACCTATTTATCTTTTAGAACTGATCTCAAATGTCACTCAAAAGTTGAGAGAGATTTCTTGTGTAATTAGACAAGATCACACTTTGAATTATACACTTCTGTAATTTTTAGAATACTATCTATCCCCCAACTAGATTATAAATTCCATGAGGCCAGGTACTTGGATTTTTGTTCTTGTTAACATTTTTTTAATGTTTACTTATTTTTGAAAGAGATAGAGATTGAGAGAGAACAGAATGGGAGTGGGGGAGGGGCAGAGAGAGAGAGAGGGAAACCAGAATCTGAAGCAGGCTCCAGGCTCTAAGCTGTCAGCACAGAGCCCGATGTGGGGCTGTAACTCACAAACCATGAGATCATGACCTGAGCCGAAGTTGTACGCTTAATAAACTGAGCCACTGAGGCACCCCTTGTTAACATTTTTTTTTAATTTTTTAATGTTTTGTTTATTTCTGAGAGAGAGAGAGAGACACATGCACAGACAATGTGAGCAGGGGAGGGTTAGAGAGAGAGGGAGACACAGAATCTGAGATAGGCTCTAGGCTCTGAGCTGTCAGCACAGAGCCCGACACAGGGCTCGAACCCACAAATCATGAGATCATGACCTGAGCCGAAGCCGGATGCTCAATTGACTGAGCCACTCAGGTGCCCCAACATTTTTTTAATAAACTTTTTAAATTTTGAAATATTTGTGGATTCACAGGGAAATTGTAAAAAAAAAATGCAGACAGATCCTATACCTGCTTTACCCAGTTTACCCCAATGGTATAGTTTGGTGTCAGAACCAGTATATTGAACATTGATACATCAAGACAGAAGATATATCCAGTCCTACAAGGATCTGTCATGTTGCCTTTTTATATCCACAACCACTTCCCTCTGTTGCCACCAACTTCTTAATCTCTGGCAACCACTAATCTATTCTCTGTTTCTATAATTTTGTCATTTCAAGAATGTTATATTAATGAAATAACACAGTGTATAACATTTGAGGATTGGCTTTTCACTCAGCATAATTCTCCAGAGGTTCATCCAGTTTGTTGCAGGTATCAGTAGTTCATTCAGTTTTATTGCTTAGTAGTGTTCCATGGTATGGAAGCACTACCACCATGATATTGTTAACCATTTACTCATTAAAAGATATCTAGGTTGTTTTCAGTTTGGGCTCTTATAGGTAAAGCTGCTCTAAACATTAATGTACAGGTTTTTGTATTAATATACATCATCATTTCTCTGAGGAAAATGGCCAGGATTACCATTGCTAGGGCTTATGGTAGTTGTATATTTAGCATAAGAAATTGCCAAACTGTTTTTCAGAGTGGCTGTACAATCTTACAGTCCCACCAGCAATGCACAAAGTGATCCAGTTTCTTCACATCCTTGCCAAAATTTATAGTGGCATTATTTTTTATTTTAACCATTATGATAGGTATGTAGTGATACCTTATTTTGGCTCTAACTTGCACTTCCCTGATGGCTAATGATGTTGAACCTCTTATCACGTGCTTCTCTATCATATGTATTTCCTTCTCAGTAAAATGTCTCTTCTTGCATTTTTGTCCATTTTCTAATTTGATGGAGTTTTTACTATTGAGTTTTGAGAGTTCTTTAATATATTCTATATACTAGTCTTTGGTTGGATATATGGTTTGCAAATATTTTCTTCTACTCTGTAGCTTATCTTTTTATCCTTTTAATAAGGTCTTTCACTGAGTAAAAAATTTAAATCTTGATTAAGTCTAGTTTATAAATTTTTCCATTTATGGACCATGAGTTTGGTGTCAAGCCTAAGAACTTTTTGCCCTAGCACTAGATCCCAAAGGTTCTCTCCTATTCTTCTCTAAAATTTTTATAGTTTAACATTTAAGTTTGTGCTCCATTTTTAAAACATTTTTTAATGTTTATTTTTGAGAGAGAGGGAAAGCATGAACAGGGGAGAGGCAGAGAGAGAGAGAGAGAGAGAGAGAGAGAGAGAATCTGAAACAGGCTCCAGGCTCCAAGCTGTCCGTGCAGAGCCCAACGTGGGGCTCAAACTCACAAACTGTGAGATTGTGACCTGAGCTGAAGTTGGATGCTTAACTAATTTAGCCGCTGCAGGCACCTCTGTGCTCCATATTTTAATTAATTTTTGTTGAAGGTATTAGACTACAACAAGTTCATTTTTTAAACTATGGAAATCCAGATATGCAGTTGCTCTAGCACCATTTGTTGAAAAGGCTCTTTCTTTCTTTGCTTTTATACTTTTGTCAAAAGTCAATTAAATTTGTTTATGTGGGTCTATTTCCAGGGTTCTCTGTTCTTTTTGTTCCTTTGATCAATATGTCTTTCTCTCTGTCAACCACACAAACTTGATTACTGTAGCTATATAGTAAGTCTTATAGCTATATGATAAATACTGATCTAGCTGTATAATAAGCACACTTTTTCAAAATTCTTGTAGATATTCTTGTTCTTTGCCTTTCCATATATATTTTATTTATTTTATTTTATTTTTTTAAATTTTTATTTATTTCTAGGAGAGAGATAGACAGCGTGAACAGGGGAGGGTCAGAGAGGGAGGGAGACACAGACTCTGAAACAGGCTCCAGGCTCTGAGCTGGCAGTCAGCACAGAGCCTGACACGGGGCTTGAACCCACGAACCGCGAGATCATGACCTAAGCGAAAGTCGGACGCTTAACCGACTAAGCCACCCAGGCGCCCCTCCATATATATTTTAGAATAATCTTATCTATATCTATAAAAATTCTTGCTGAGATTTTGATAGGAATTGCATTAAACCTGTATATCAACCTGGGGAAGTTTGACATCTTCACTATGCTGAATTTTCCAATCCATAGACACAGCATATTTCTCCATTTATTTAGATCTTCAGTTTCTTTTATCAGCATTCTGAGATTTGGGGCATATAAGTCCTATACATGTTTTGTTAAATTTATTTATACCTCAGCATTTGTCCATCTGTCTCTCTCTCTCTTTTTTGAATGATTGGAAATGGTATTGCCTTTTTTTTTAAGTTTATTTTTGAGAGAGAGCGAGAGATAGCAGGGGAGAGGGAGGGGCAGAGAGAGAGGGAGACAGAGGATCAAAAGCTGGTTCTGTACTGACAGCAGATAGCCCAATGTGGGACTTGAATTCAAAACCGTGAGATCACCGACTAAGCCACCAGGTGTCCCTGGTATTGCCTTTTAAATTTTGGTGACCAAGTGTTCATTGCAAGCATGTAGAAATTAAATTAATTTTAGATATTTATCTGGTTCAACCTTGCTGAACTCACTTATTCTAGTCTTTTTGTAGATTCTTTGGGATTTTTATGTAGACAACAGTGCTGTCTACAAAACAGACACTTTCATTTCTTCCTCTCTGATCTGTAAAATTTTTATTTCCTTTTCTTGATTTATTGCACTGGCTAGAAAATTGAAACAATATGTTGAAGAAGAGCAGTGAGCATGCACATCTTTTCCTTCTTTCCAATTAAAAAAAAAGCATGCAGTCTTTCACCATGAATTATAATGTTAGCTATAGGTTTTTTGTAGTTCTTTTTTATCAAGTTGAGAAAGTTCTTCCTTTTTCTTATTTTTCTTGGAGGGTGCTGAGTGGGTGTTGAAGTCTGTCAAATGCCTTTCCTGCACTGATTGCTGTGATCATGGGACCTTTCTTCTTTGCCTGATAATATGGTGGATTTTACTGGTTGACTTTCAAACGTTGAACCAGCTTTGCATACCCGAAATAAACCCCTCTCTGTCATGGTAGATAATTCATTTTTTATATAGCTAAATTCTATTTGCTAATATTTTGTCAAGGAGTTTCACATTTATATTTCAAGTGTGATATTGCCTGTAGTTTTCTTTTTATTCACTGTCATTTGTTTGGTTTGGGTATGAGACTAAACCTAGCTTCATAAAAAATGAATTGCAAATTTGCGGAGCCATGGAGGGTGGCTTCGGCTCGGACTTCGGGAGCTCCGGCGGCGGCAAGCTAGACCCGGGACTCATCATGGAGCAGGTGAAGGTGCAGATCGCCGTGGCTAACGCGCAGGAGCTCCTGCAGAGGATGACGGACAAGTGCTTCCGGAAGTGCATCGGGAAGCCGGGGGGCTCCCTGGACAATTCGGAGCAGAAGTGCATCGCCATGTGCATGGATCGCTACATGGACGCCTGGAACACCGTGTCCCGCGCCTACAACTCGCGGTTGCAGCGGGAGCGAGCCAACATGTGACCCCCGCGGGCCGTGCTCGGCCCCGCGGGCTCCCTGCAGGCCCCCGCCCCCATCCCCCGTTCCGTTTCCATAAAGCCCCTTTGTGAAGCGGGGACCCGCCTGTTAAAAAAAAAAAAAAATGAATTGCAAAGAGTTCCCTTCTGGTTTCTGGAAGAAATTGCGTAGACGTAGCATTAATCCCTTTTAAACACTTGGTAGAATTCTCCAATGAAGTTTTATAAGAAAATCTGATCTTGGAGATTTCTCTTTTTAGCAGCTCTTAAATTGCTGATTCAATTTACCTAATAGTCTATATAGCTATTCAGGTTATTTAACCATGTTGAGTGGTGGTAGTTTGTACTTTTCAAGGAAGTGTCGTTGTCTAAGTTGCCAAGTTTATATGTATAGAGTTGTTCATAGTATCTCTTTACTGTCCTTCTGTTGTCTATGATACTGGTATGTCTACTGATACTGGTAATTTGTGTCTTCTCTCTTTTTTCTTTGTCAATCTTGCAAGAGGTTTGTTAATTTTATTGGTCTTTTCAAAGAACTAACTCTTTGTTTCATTGATTTTTCTCTATTATTTTTCTATTTTCAATTTCATTGATTTCTTTCATCCTTCTGTTTTCTTTGTTCTTCTTTTGCTTTTCCTTTTCTAGGTTCTTTTTTTTTTTTTCTTTTTCTAGGTTCTTGAAGTAAGGGCTTCGATTATTGATTTGAGACTTGTCCTTTTTTCTAATGTATATATTTCATATCTCCTATAAATTTCCCTTTCAGGACTGTTTTAGCTATGTCCCACAAATTTTTCTATGATTATTTTTATTTTCATTCAGTTAATGTATTTTTTGTTTCTCTGAAATATTTGCCTTATCTACCCTATGGATTTTTGAAGTGTGCTACTTAATTTCCAAGTGTTGGGAAATTTTCCTGGTATCACTCTATTAATGATTTGTAATATCATTCCAGTGTGGTCAAGAAATACATTCCAAGGGCGCCTAGGTGGTTTAGTTGGTGAAGCATCTGACTCTTGATTTGGGCTCAGGTCATGATCTCACTGTTAGTGGGATCAAGTCCCATTTTGGGCTCTGCACTGGCAGCATGGGGCCTGCTTGGGATTCTCTTTCCTTCTCTCTTTGCCCCTCCCCAACTCATGCATGTGTTCAGTCTCTCTCAAAATAAATATATTAACTTAAGAAGATACATTCTATATGATTTTACATTTTGGGGGGTTTGATTTATAGCCCAGGATATGGCCTATTTTGGTATATGTTTCATGGGCACCTGAGGAAAATGAATATTCTGCTGTTGGGTGGTATATTCTATAAATGTCAACTGGATCATGTTGGTTGATGGTATTGAGTTCTTCTATATCCTTGTTTATTTTATGTACATTTGTCCTATCATTTGGTAAGGAATGAAGTGTCCAAGTATGATTGTAGATTTATCTATTTATTCTGTCAGTTCTATAAGTTTTTGCTTTGCATATTTTGCATCTGTATACATACACAATTATGAATACTAGGTCTTGTTGATCTGATTAATCAACAAAACTAAAAGGCAACCTTTGGAATGGGAGAAGATTTGCAAATGATATATCCAGAAAAAGGTTAGTATCTAAAATCTATAAAGAACTTATAAAACTCAATACCCAAAAACCAAATAATCCAATTAAGCAATGGGCGGAAGACCTGAATAGACATCTTCCCAAAAAAGACATACAGATGGCCAACAGACACATGAAAAGATGCTCAACATCACTCATCAGGGAAATACAAATAAAAACTACAATGAGATATTACCTCACACCTGTCAGAATGGCTAAAATTAACACAGAAAATAACAGATGTTGAGGAGTATGCAGAGAAAGAGGAACCCTCTTACACTGCTAGTGAGAATACAAAGTGGTACAGACACTCTAGAAAACTGTATGGAGGTTCCTCAAAAAGTTAAAAATAGAACTACCCTAGGACCCAGCAATTGCACCACTCGGTATTTAACCAAAACATACCAAAATACTGATCTAAAGGGACACATGCACCCTGGTGTTTACAGTAGCATTATCAACAATAGCCAACTGTGGAGGGAGCCCAAATCTCCTTTGAGTAATGAATGGACAAAGAAATTGTGATATATATACAATGGAATATTACTTAGCCATAAAAAGGAATGAAATCTTGCCATTTGCAATCATGTGGATAGAGTGAGAGTATATTATGCTAAGTGAAATAAGTCAGAGAAAGACAAATATATGATTTCACTCATATGTGGAATTGAGGAATCCAAACAAATGGACATAGGGAAAAAACGAAAGAAAGGCAAACATAAAACACTCTTAACTATAGAGAACAAACTGAGGGTTACTGGAGGGGAGATAGGCAACCAGATGGGCTAAATGGGTGATGGGTATTAAGGAGGGCACTTGTTGGGATGAACACTGAGTGTTATGTCACTAAAGTCTATGCCTGAAATGAAGACTCTACTATCTGTTAACTAACTACAATTTAAATTAAAACCTGAAAAAAAAAACCCTATAATTTTTAGGTATCTTTTCTTGCAATGAAAAGAATACACAATGGTTATCTGTAGACAAAATTTTTTCCCCAGGTGATGATAAAACCAGGAATTTGTTTTCTTTAAATTTTGTTTTTGTTGTTAATTGACGTTAACTTTGTAGGAAGTTACTGGTGGGGAGTAATTTCTGTATTTCTAATTAAGGCTGCTATTCCCTTCAGTAGGACAGGAGTAATTGTGTTCAGAGATCCTTAGAAAATACTGCCCCTGCAGGCCAAGATTCTTGGCAGTTTGTCTACTTCTAACGAAAAGGGCTCCATGGTTCTGACATTTTAAAATTGGGAGAAAATCAATGTAGATTATGTCTGATTATTACTAAACAGTATTACTTTGAACACAAGCTCCACAAGGCAGGAATTTTTGTGTTTTGCTGATCATTGTATTCCCAGGGTCTACAACGGTAGTTGTAGACATGTGGACAGTAGACATGTAGTAGATGACCAATAAATATTTGTTCCGTGAAAAAGTCGTCTACAGGGGAACCCTTAATATGGAACGAGTTTTTTCTATGTATTGAAGAAGTACTGAGAAAAACTGGGACTAATGTCCTCAAAGCCAGATCAGTCATATTGGAGACATGCTGTGAGAGCACCATACAGCTGAAGATAGGCAATGATTATACCAGTTCTTTTCAAAAAAGGGAAAGGAGAATGCTATAAATTATACATACAAAGCTATTCTTAAGGGAAATTATACATTTCCCAATCCTGGGAAAAACTTATAAATCTTTTTGTTTCTGAAAAAAAAAAAAAAAAGATACACCAGAGATAGCTTTGGTTTACGAAGTCATGTTCAAGAGCCACTTCTTTCAGTGACAGAATTACTCGGTTGCTGGATGAAGAAAGGTTAGGTGTATGAAGTAACAACAACATACTAGCCTTGTTAACCATGTGAGAGAGTTTACTTAGGGGATGAATTAAACTTGTTTAAATGGTTGATTAACCTACCATATGAAAAGGAAAATTCAACCAAGAGAGCTGTTGCCTAATAATAAGTACTAATACGTAGAATTGCTCTGTCCGACTCTTTTGTCAATAACTTGTAGACATGTCATTCTTACAGAGTTCACAGATTTTATGAAACCGAAAATAATAAATATGGCGGGTGACAATCAGGATTCCAAATGATTTGCAGTGTTTAGCATGCTAGATATTCTCTCTTGGATCCTACAGGTTTACTTTTTCTGTCCTGCCGTGCCCCTGAGGAGATCTACATATAAGGGTTGTGTCGTCTGGCTTCCACTGACTTGCTGCTTCTGGCTGAGTCTAGCCAACTAAAGTCACAGGGAAGAGATTGGAGGAGGAGAAGAGAAGGAGAAGAGAAGTTATTTATTTCCAGGGCTCCCACCCTGTCAGGCCACAGTTTGGCAGTGGCTCTGTGCCTCTACCTAAGGCCACTGCTCTCTCCTATCTAGCAGTACCTCTCCATGGCTACAACTTTTCCAACATTCGGGTAACTTCTCTTTTTTTTTTTTTTTTAAATTTTTTTTAATGTTTTATTCATTTCTAGGAGAGAGAGAGACAGCGCAAGCAGGGGAGGGTCAGAGAGAGAGGGAGTCACAGACTCTGAAACAGGCTCCAGGCTCTGAGCTGGCAGTCAGCACAGAGCCCAACGCGGGGCTTGAACCCACGAACCTCGAGATCATGACCTAAGCGAAAGTCAGACGCTTAACCGACTAAGCCACCCAGGCGCCCCTCAGGTAACTTCTCTTACCCCCTGCACTTTGTCCAAGAGGTTGCAATGGCTGTCCACTATTGCTAGATTCAAGGTGCTTCTCCATCTCCTGAATGTTTCCTCTGTCCACACCTTTGTAAATAAACCCTTTATTAAAGTCTCTTTAATTCCTTTTTGAATATGCCATCTTCCCCCGTTTTAATTTTTTTTTAATGTTTTATTATTTTAAAGAGAAAGAGAGAGAAGGGGAGGGACAGAGAGAGGAGGAGACACAGAATGTGAGGCAGGCTCCAGGCTCTGAGCTGTCAGCACAGAGCCTGATGCAGGACTTGAACTCATGAACTGCAAGATCACAACCTGAGCCAAAGTTGGATGGTTAACTGACTGAGCCACCCAGGCACCCCTTACCCTCTATTTTTAAATTGTCTTTAGGCTGGGGGGTGGGAGGAAAAAAAAGTACAATATGGAGATATGAAAAAAATAACAGGATCAAAAAAATGTGGTTAATTACAAGTGCAATATGAGATTATAAATAATGTGATGAGGCTCCTGAGAAACCATATAACTTGGGAGTTGCCCTAGTGCATCTATCAGTGACCAAAATAAGAGAAGTCATACTCATATATATCTAGGTCTATTCTTCTGTGCTCTGTGCCACTGATCTATTTGTCTCTTTTTGTGTGAAATTCACACTATTTGAGTGATGCTAATTGCTATTAGGGACATTTGGGGAATTTGGGGAGTTTGTCTTTTTTTTTTTTTTTTTTTGAGAGAGAGACAGAGCATGACTGGGGGATGGGCAGAGAGAGAGAGAGGGAGACAAAGAGTCTGAAGCAGGCTCCAGGCTCTGAGTAGCCGGCACAGAGCCCGATACAGGGC